TGTCCGATACCGGGGTGGGTCGGGCGGGACGAGCTGCGTCCTTAGCAAGGCGTCGCTTCTCATAGTCTGCGAAGATGAGAGGTGCAGAARTCTGCAAATCTTCACTGGAGATCCACCGAGTGTCATCAGGCGCACATTGCTTGAATGTGACCTTGTACTGCCTTGGCTTGTTGCCATACTTGCGGTGCGTGATGACTCGGTCAACTTCCTGATGTCCGTCCATAGAAGGCGGAYCCTGTGATCGACGTCCGGGGAAYTCGTCAGCTRRAGGTGGCRTGTAGATGGCCRRCTTYGATGCATGGAAGAYCCGATGCACTRTYASGTGCGGTGGAATGTTGATTACGAAGGAAGGACCGGCGGGGTCGTCTCCAACGACAGAAGTGACTTCCCATGGTCCGAACCATTTCGGAAGGAGTTTGCGCGAAACATCCTGCTCGAGCGCAAATTCCTCGGAGAGGACCCAAACAAGGTCTCCCTCGCGGAAAGGACATGRAAGTCGACGTCGGTTAGCTTGCTGCTGCATGCGGACCTGAGCCTTTTGCATAKTCGCGYGGGCTTTGATCAGCAAGTCCCGATACTTSCTGACAGAAGCGGGAGAGCAAGGGACGTCTATGTCGGCAACCTGTGGCAAAAGGAGATCAGCGAAGATCCGTGCTTTCTCTCCACCATGATGTAGCTCGAATGGTGTGACGCAGATCGCTGGGTGCACCGAAGTGTTGTAGGCGAACTCGATATCGGGAAGCCGGTCAACCCAATCTTTCTGGTCGGGACGGATGAGCGTACGCAACATAGTCTGAGCGGTCTGGTGCGCTCGCTCCGTCTGACCATCCGTCTGCGGGTGCCGAGCCGAGCTCGACTTTATTGTCGTGCCGAACTCCGTCATGAGAGAAGTCCAAAAGGCTGACATGAAGTGAGTGTCTCGGTCGCTCACTATGTCTTCCGGAACACCTTGGTTGGTAATCCAACCGGTGTGCAAGAGTCGTGCGAGCTCAGGCGCTGCAGCATGATACTTGCAAGGAAGGAAGCGAGCATACTTGCTCAAACGGTCAACGACCGTGAGAATACCGTCATGGCCGTGGCGATCGCGGGGAAACGGGCTTGTCACGTCCATAGCAATGGAGAGGCGTGGTGCCCGAGGGATCGGCAACGGTTTCAGTTCGCCGAAGGGGACTCGAGATCGCCCTTGTTACGGTGGCAAACTGCACATGACTCAATGTACCTCGTGACGTCGTGCAGAACGTCGGGCCAGTGAAAACGCTGGCGGAGGCGTGCKAGTGTGCGGTTCACGCCAAGGTGTGCCGAAAGTCGTGCATCGTGGAATTCGCCGAGAAGACGAGTCCGTAAGATACAATCTTGGGGCACAACTAACAAGTCCGTTCCTCTCGTGTTAAGGAGAAGGAACCCGTCGGAAATCCGATAATTGCTATCCGGCGGGTGATCCGATGAAAGCTCTGCGTAAAGCGTAGAGTAAGTCGGATCGGACTTGTAGCCTTTGACGAAATGCTGTTGCAGATCGTCATCGAGGTCGAATGCCGTGATCACAATGGCACAAAAGTCGGGCCGTCGTGAGAGGGCGTCCGCAGCTCGATTGGTGGGACCGGGAATGTGACACGGGTCAAAATCGAACTGGTCGATGTAATACATCCATCGACCGATCGTACTAGTGACCGTGTCCTGTGTTTTGTAAAATGTCAACGGATTGTTATCCGTATTCCATTTAAAACGCCAACGGCCGAGAAGAAAGTGGCGCCACCGTTTGAGGACGGTGACGAACGCGAGTAGCTCTTTCTTCCTAGCGTCATCAAGAGTGTTGACGAGAGGCACCTTCTGGGAGAAGTACWCAACCGGATGCCAACCGTCCTCGTGACACTGTTCCAACACCGCACCAATACCGTATCCCGAAGCGTCCGCAGTCACTTGGGTGGGTAGGGTGGGGTCATATATACGGAGGGCAGGTGCGGCTTGCATCGCTGCCTTCAACGTAGTGAAYGCGCCAYGGGCTGCGTCRTCGAACTCGAAGGGCACCTTCGGGGACTGAAGTCTCGACAAAGGAGCGGCCACTTTCGAGTATGACTCGACGAATCGCTGATAATATCCAGCCAAACTTATGAAAGAGCGTACATCCGTAGTGCAACGGGGTTCCGGCCAATCCACGATGGCTTGGATCTTGTCCGCTAAGGGACAAATGCCTTTCGCCGTGACAAAATGGCCCACGTACTCAAGCTCTTGCCTGGCGAATTCRCACTTGTCGAGATTCGCTTTGTATTTGGCTAGTTGCAAACGAGTCAAAACAACGAGAAGGTGTACGATGTGCTCGTCCAACGTCCTGCTATAGACCAAGATGTCATCGAGGTAGATGAGGACACTGCGATCGAGCAAGTCGCGAAACTCAGTCGTCATAGCTGCTTGAAAAGTTGCAGGGGCATTGGTGAGGCCAAAGGGCATGACAACCCACTCAAAATGCCAGTACCGCGTCTTGAATGCGGTCTTGTACCGATCTTGAGGCTGGATTTCAATCTGGTGGTAACCTGACTTCAAGTCCAACTTCGAGAAGTACGTCGCGCCGCCTAACCGCTCAAGGAGATCATCAATCCGAGGGAGAGGGCCGGCGTTCTTTACGGTTTGTGCGTTAAGTTTGCGATAGTCGATGCATAACYGTAGATCTTTGTTCTTCTTCCGGACGAAGAGAACAGGTGCATTGTATGGCGAGCAACTAGGGCGAATCCAGCCCTTGTCGAGAAGATCATGGAGTTGTGCACGAAGCACCTCGAGTTCCTCTTCGCTCATGCGGTAGATACATCCACGCGGAGG